CAGTAGACATTCTGTAGTTTTCGCATTAGCTGTTATTGCTAAAGCAAAGCATACCTTTTCATATATTTGTTGATGGTTCTCAGTGCATGTAATGACCAAATATCACTGATAGGGTTACTGCCTTGATACGCTGGTCTGAGGTTTGGGTTTTCTGGTCGTGGGCTCCGCTCGTTGTAAGGAATTGCAGTGTAAGATTCTAGAGCATGGCTATAGAGGAAATTCAAATGATGCCTGTTTTAAGACCGGTACTGTAGTTGTACAATTTTGCTGTTATTAAGCGTAATAGGGTAAAAAGCATTGTTGGTATAGAATCATACTAATATACTATTACAAATGCTGTAATTTGATTGGCTATTCTACTCGCTATCTTTTCCTCAATAGATAGCAAATAGCAAAACAATCGTTTTCCTGGCGCATTTAAGAAAAAGGCTTCCAGCTCGCATTTTTCTGAGGTTTCTGAGGGCGAACTTGATTGTTTGCTTGAGATTCTACTAAAAACAATTAGATTACTCGCTCTCGAGCTTCGGGCTTCGCTCTCATCAACTTTCACCTCATAGAAATCTCGAGCTCGTAATCTAAAAATATTAGCTTTGTAGACAAAGTGACCAGGATAATTGGGTAACAAGCATTGGGAATAGTTTTACCCGGCTGTACGACATTAAGAACATTAAGAACAGCGCTTACCACAAAACATCAAAGCCACTGTTGGCAGCAACTCTTTCGGGCATGAAGCGAGTGTGGAGTGGATCAACAATACCAATTGTAGGACGAATGGCGCGATTTGCAATACCTGAGAAACAAAATGAGACAGTAATTCAATAAGTGAACAACCTGCAGTTGTAGAAAATGTTTTAAAATTCTTTTCATTGTGCGTACCGGGTGGCGCAAAGAAATGTTCCCCTTCTTTGACCTATTGTAATTATAAAACTAAAGAAGTCATCCTATTCAAATCAAGTTTATTGAACGCAGTAATGTCTAACTTAAATTTTGATGTATGCCTTGCACATTTCTATAAAATGTTAGCCAAGATATAGGCGTTTAAACTCAAGGTAGCATTTTTGCAAGAAGCGAAAAATGGTCTATTAATTTGCATTATGGTAATAAAATGGCCATTTTTTCTTCCAAAAATGCTACCTTGAGTTTAACGGCTATATATCTCGGCTAATATTCTATAGAAATGTTTAAGGCATACATCAAAATTTAAGTTGGACATTACTGCGTGATAAATTAGACATTCATTATTTGAATAAGATGGCATCTTCAGTTTTTTAATTACAATAAGTCAAACTGGGGGAACATTTTTTGCGCCACCCGGCTGTAGTCTTGCGTTAGGATCAGTGTCAACATATTTGAAGACGACCTGCTCGATCATCATAGAAAACACTTGATAAGAATGAAATATTTTCAAACCTGTTTTGGCCTTCAAAGGTTCGTAGTCAAAGATGGACACCCCTGTAGTTTCACTGCCTGTAGAGTTAGAAAATAGCAGGAACAGAGTAAGGACTAATATGTAATTCAATTAACATTTGTCTTCTGAGGAGTCAAAACCTCAGTGGTCAAAACGGCAGCTTTTTTAAATTTTCGTCTAATGGCTATTTTTCACAAGTGAAACGTGTAAAAAAAAACTAAAAACGTAACAAGCCTACCTGTACCGGCAGTAGTTGGAACTGAAAATAAAAAAGTTATTGTTATAAAATGCACTTAATATACTCCAAAAAGCTGGCTTTATGGGAGCTGCGAGAATACTGCATGCGCAAGGTGCTTGATACGAAAGAATCTGGAAGAGATCTTAAGGCTGGAGCAATTCAGTATATTGAAAAGATGCCGAGGTATCTATTTATCCATCTGTCTATGGTGGGGGAAATTGACCGCTTCAGGAAGCACCGAGTTTAACAGCTGACACAAACAAGTACTGGTACCAATGATGGTCAACCAGCCTGAACGAACGAATTGTCAACCAATCTTAACAGTACTTTTGGGTCATAAGAACAGAGAAAATATTTATATGTTTTTAGACCTTTTCCCTTGTACTAATAAGTTATTTTAAGTCCATTACACAGGGTGTATTCACCCGAGCCAGAGCTTTATGATACATGTGCCCGATACTAAAGCTTAGTTTTTGGTGAGGGAGGAAAAGCGTAGAACCCAGAGAAATAACACTCGAAGCACAGTAAAGCACCAACCAAACTCCAAGTTTTGGGAAGCAAATCAAAGGGAAATTATCCACATTGCCTACCCTCGATGAGCAGTAAGAGACAGCACTCTAACCACATCTGTCATCCTTGCTTTCCTAAAATAATACCCTACCCCCGATCTACAGTAGCAGGCTTAACTCAGCAGTAAGAGACAGCGTTCTAACTACATCTGTCATCCTTGCTTTCCTAAAGTAATACCCTACCCTCGACCTACAGTAGCAGACTTAACTCAGCAGTAAAAGATAGCGCTATAACCACATAATCTGTCATCCTTGCTTTCCTGAAGTAATACCCTACCCTCGACCTACAGTAGCAAGCTTAACTCAGCAGTAAGAGACAGCACACTAATCACATCTGTCATCTTTGCTTTCCTAAAGTAATACCCTACCCTTAACCTATAGTAGCAGGCTTAACTCAGCAGTAAGAGACAGCACACTAATCACATTTGTCACCCTTGCTTTCCTAAAGTAATACCCTACCCTTAACCTATAGTAGCAGGCTTAACTCAGCAGTAAGAGACAGCACACTAATCACATTTGTCATCCTTGCTTTCCTAAAGTAATACCCTACCCTTAACCTAACTTAGCAGTAAGAGACAGCACTCTAACCACATCTGTCATCTTTGCTTCCCTAAAGTAATACCCTACCCTCAACCTACAGTAGCAGACTTAACTTAGCAGTAAGAGACAGCACTCTAACCACATCTGTCATCTTTGCTTCCCTAAAGTAATACCCTACCCTCAACCTACAGTAGCAGACTTAACTCAGCAGTAAGAGACAGCACTCTAACCACATCTGTCATCCTTGCTTCCCTAAAGTAATACCCTACCCTCAACCTACAGTAGCAGACTTAACTCAGCAGTAAGAGACAGCACTCTAACCACATCTGTCATCCTTGCTTTCCTAAAGTAATACCCTACCCTCGACCTACAGTAGCAGTATAAGAGACAGCACTCTAATCACATCTGTCATCCCTGGCTCCATTTTATATTTTCAATTTTTTTCAGGTAGTCAGTAAGCATATATTCATCTGCAACCTGAGAATGCAAATAACTTGATTTTCACTGATGAGACTGTTCGCAAAGCTGTACAGATGAGAACGTACCTTCCACGTGACACCATACGGCCCTCAATACCTGACAATACCAATTTCAGATTCGCTTTCGTTGACTATTTCGAACCCAGTAACACTAACTATGGGCATTCGGAGTTTCAACTATTATTTCGCAATGGACTGGGAAAAATGATCACGCATTTCCAAACAATATTTAGCAGTTGTCCACAGTACGTTATTCTGTATTCCAGTCTTCTACCTTGCTCAGATTGGAGAAATCGCCCTTTTACGTGCGCTGAGATGACAGTCAAGGCAAGAAAAGACTTGGAAAACATCTGTGGTCCGGGAACAACATTTTACCTTTACACCGATAAACAGACACGTTCATCACTTTAAGACCCAACTTTTTTTATTCACGTCACATATGCGTATATATAATATATATAATATAAATTTAAAAAAAAAATTATTCAAACAAAGTCCCAATATTGGGACATAGAATACATGGATAACTAAATAAGTCGTTACAGTCTATAACATAGATATTAATATATAAATAGATAGATAGATATCTATGATATAGATAGATTATTTAATTTAATAAGATTTTACATCGCAGCCCAAAATAGCTGAATCAGTGCGTAAAATTTACAAAACATATAAATTAACTGTATAGGTTATAAAGTCTATAAACACATATATATATATATATATATTAATTTGTTATCTTAAAATGTTTCAATTTCTCGCTACTTTAAGTTTCATGCCACTATTTGTGGCAATCTTCAGGCGATCTGATATATATATATATATCAGATCATATACACACACGTGAGTGTGTATGCTAATTATAGACGAACTACTGCCTTCATGTCCTATGATGTTCGCCATTTTTGCGATGATATTTTAAGATTGCAGTCGTTTGTGCAAACGTATACGTATACGTATAAGCGTGGACGAGGCCTACATAGTACATATATAAACGCAATACTACGCCAGTACAATGGCTATGTCACGAAGGGCAGTGGCAGTGCATGAAGAGCCAAAACAAGTAGCAAGTCAAATTAAGAAGATGGTTTCGAACTCTTTCAGACCTACAGAACATAGACGACTAGGTAAGTCATAAAACGAGTTTGGAACACCTAAATCCTACACTGTTAATTTCAGGGAGTTAACTTAACTCCGGTGGAGTTATACTGTACCTCAATTAACTCCAAATGTAGAGTAAAATTAGGTTCAGAATAATACCACTGGAGTTAAATTAACTCCCCGAAATTTACTGTGTAATTATTCACTTTACTTGCATGCATGTATATGCATATATAGCTTTATCAATTCTGAACCGTTTTTTCTAAGAGGTTCAGTAAGCGTCACTCTTCATTGTTCTATAGTGTTACTATACAGGAGAAAACCTAAACTAAACTAACATTGTATTATCGAAATGCAACCTTTATATAGATACCTCTCTCGAATATTAAGCGAGCAATTTCGTCTGACTTATTGGAACAAATCGATCACACTTCTAAATACACAGATCACACAGTTTTCCGTCTTGGACGGAATCCATCTTCTAATATGAATTCAGTTATTCATGTTTCGATGTTCCTACAATGGACCTCCACGTTCGAAATACCTTTTTCAATTAGTTCAAACACAAACCACGGCGGGCTTACCGAATGTTGTTGCATGTAGAATATACTACAATACAACATGAACAGTTATTCATTGCAACATGTTTTGTAGCGAATTTTATGTACATGCAATAATATATAATGATTAACGATGTATAACTCTGTATTTGTAAACTTGTTAGTTTCATAGTGATATAATGTGGTGTAGCATGTCAGACAAAACCTTAAAATTTAGGACTTTAAAACTACGTTCACACCCACATGAGAGCGAAATAATGCACTGTTTACATGCCAGTAACGAACTATATATTAACCGCATGTGAGTAAGGAAAACCCAAAATATTTCAAATAGAACAGAGAAATCTAAACAAAAAGCATTCGGATTCACTGAATACTGTTTTGAGACCTGAGATGATTTGAGACCTTTCGATTGTTACGGCGAAAGTAACGTTTTCAAACAAATTTAAAAAGATATCTGCGTGGTCCAAGCACATGCACACTAGTTTCAACTGTCGGGCTAGTTATTTATCAGTTCCTTTCGTCGTTATTAATGGAACAAGTATATACAATCGTATACTATATAGTGGACCAGGAACTGCGTGACCCAGTTTCGATCTTTTGCAAATCGTTAAACGTTCAAAACCTTCGAGATTTTGACTTGATAAATAAATAACTATAGACACGTGCATGTGATTTTCAAAGTTGACAGCGTAGACCGAGTTCGCTAAATGTTTTGCTTTCATGCAATATCTACTTTATCCGGGCAAAATGTGCCTATATATAGTGCCCGCCATGTATAAATGAGGTGTAAATCTGGACAAAGCATATAAATCGAGATATAGATAACTAAATGCGCAATTTTCAAAAGTATTTCCTCGAGTTCGATAGATAAGTTAAATGTCCCACAATATTTAGAATAAACATGCGTGGCTAAATTTAACTTTTGCCGTGCATCAAATTTTGCCGTCTGTGCGTGCCATTGCAAAATCAGCAGCTATACACTCGTGTATACGTGCCGTGTAAACGGGGCTTAACTCACCTTAAGGTAACACTGAGATTATCTGAATTGTTGCTAGGACTAGGTTAATGCAATTTCATCTCGCTTAGTCATGGGGCTCCATAACTGCATGCTTGTGCTAAAAACAAATTTACATGGCTTTGACTTTGTTTCTCAGTATATTATAGTGACAAGTCTATTCTAAACTTCCTTTCCAGATACGTCTATCTCTTTTTGGTTCACTGTAACTATACACTACAGTATTTATACTGAAGGAAATAATTTAAATTCTCAAATGTTTTTAATCTTTCTAATTTTACTTACAATTTGATGTATACCATGCAAACCAATTCAACAAGTCAGCCTCGTTGACGTTGTCTATTCGCTCATAAATATAGGGCCCGTTCATAGTACACTACTGACAATATTTGCTGCGACCTTTTCTGCTGACGAATCCTAGAAAATGCCATATTAGTGCGCCAAGTCGGACACATTTCGATCATGCTCGAAATTTATCACAACTCGCTGCGTTTCTCCACGAAATCGTGAAAAATCCCTTGACTTTGACACTGAGCTACTGTTACTGAATAACTAGTTCATCAATATATTGAAGGAATTTATCAAAGTCAAGCAACATAAGCTATGTATAAACTCTGAAAATTCTTCACTTTCATGACGCTGTTTTGAAAAACAAAACCCACATGCAGGTAAATCGCGACAAGCATAACAAAATTTTGCATAAAAAATATAAAAAACAAAGCCGAGCATTTTTGCCGCAAAGATTTTGCAT